AGTTGCCATGGCTCTCTCATCTCTCTCAGCTGTAACCCTTAATTCAGGGAAAGAAAGCAGATGAGGGGTGATGGGGGTCGAATAGAAGACAAACATACACACATAGAGAGATGAATGTTGGGCCAGGTGTGAAACTGCTCTCTGATGGTGTTTTAGTCAACTCTTTTGTTGTTGTTGTGTCTAAAAGATCTGACCAGAACAATGCTAGGAGGAAATATTTATTTGAGGGCTCATGGTTTCAGAGGTCTCAGTTCATAAGAGGTTGGCTACATTTCTTAGGGCTCAAGGTGAGGCAGGACAACATGGTGGAAAAATGTGGCAGATGGAAATAGCTCATATGATGATCAGGCTGCAAAGAGAGAGTTTGCTCACCACATATAAATGTATACCCCAAAGCCATGCCCCCAATTCCTACCTCCTCCAGCTATATGTACCACTTCTGTTACCACTCAGTTAATCCCTACCAGAAATTAATTCATTGATTTGGTTAAGGCTCTTTAAACCCAATCATTTCTCCTCTGAACTTTCTTGCATTTCCCCATTTGCTTTTGGGGGACACCTCACATCCAAACCATAACAAATGGAGAACAGTGACCCAGAGCTAGTTCACCATGTTTATTATATAGGTTTAATAAAAGGGTTATTTGTGAGAAAGTTTTAGCAGACAGGGAATCTGAAGGATGGAGGATTGGTGAGATATTACATGAAAGGCATACAAATAGGCAAAGACAAAGTCAAATTATCTTTGTTTGCTGGTGACATGATTTTATATTTAGAAAACATCAACACTCCAGTTATGTAATTGACAAATTTAACAATCTGGAAGAATACTATATCAACATGCACAAATCAATCACATTTCTATACTCTAATAATGAATCTGCTGAAAAAGAAACTAGGAAATCATCCTGTTCAAAATAGCCTCAAAGAGAAAAAAGTTGGGAAAACATCTCACCAAGGAGGATTAAGACATTTATAATAAAAGCTATAGAACACTGAAGAAATAAATTTAAAAAGACTTTAGAAGATAGAAAGACCTTCTATCTTACTTGATAGTCAGAATTAATATTATTGAAATGGCTATACTACCAAAAGTATTATACAGATTCAATACAATTCCCATCAAACTATCAATGCCAGGGACTAGGGTTATAGCTCAGTTGGGAGAGTGCTTGCCTTGCATGAACAAGGCCCTGGGTTTAATCTCCAGCCCCCCCCCACAGAATCAATGACATTCTTCACAGATTTAGGAAAAACAGTCCCAATATTTATTTGGAAGAAAAAGAGACCCAGAATATCAAAGTAATTCTAAGTAAGAAGAGAAACACTGGAGGCATCACAATATCAGACATCAAATTTACTATAGAAGTATAGTAACAAAACCACATGATATTGTCATTAAAACATACATGAAAACCAATAGAGTAGAATTGAATAGAAGACATACAGACAAATCCACATAGATAGAGTCATCCAATACTTTATAAAGATGCAAATAACATGTTGTAGAAAATATTGCCCTTTTAACAAATGGTGCTGGAAAAACTGGATATCCATATGTAGAAGAATAAAACTTGACTCACCTTATACAAAAATCAATTTAAAGTGAATCAAAGACATAGGCATTAGTCCAGAATATTTGCAACTGCTAGAATATGCATACCTTAACACTCCATCATATTGGCACAAGAATTGACTTGCTTAACAATACTCCCAAAACATATCTAATATAACCAAAAGTCATTAGGTTGGAAGGCATTTCTGTTACCTGCACGGCCAAACCCTAGAAATCTGTGAGGCACATGGGGTATTAAGAAAGACAGGATCAGGTGGGACACTGACCTCTGATGGAGGAACAGTGACCCAGAGCTAGCTCAGCATGTCTCACAATCAGGAAGTTAGTGCACATTGTTATTTGTGCACTAAAAATTACAGAACTAGAAATTTTTTTGTAGTTACTCTACTGTTGAAGTGCTAGGAACATCCTGTTATTATCTTGCTGTACCCAGGAACCCCATCTAGAGTTTCTGCAATACAGGCAGCCTTGAAGTTTGCAGCACTTGCAAGATATTGAGGATACCTTGTTATGCTTAGTATTCTCTAACCTGGGCTCAAGGTCAAGACTTATTGTTTTGTACCTTTGCACAGAACTTCCTCATGTAGGGCTTTAATATAGCTACTAGGCAATCTCATCCTACACCTTTGCACAGAAAATTTCTAGGGAAAAGCACAGCCATAGCTCTGAGATGTAAAAGACCATAAGCAATGTCACCACTCTCCACAAAGCATCAAATTAGAAAAGCTCCTGCACAGTAAAGGAAGCAATTAAGAAGAATGTGAACAGATTCACAATTCTAGTGGATTGATATCTACACTATATATGTAGAACTAAAAAATCATAGTACCAAAAATCAAATAATTCAATTAATGAAAGTGCAAGATAAACAGATACTGCTTAAAAGAAGAAATACAAACAAAAAAAAGATATATGAAAAAATGCTCAACATCTCTAGCAAACAGAAAAATGCAAAACAAAACTACTTTGAGATTTCACCTTGGCCATAACAACAATTATCAAGTATAATAACAATAAGCCAGGCATGATGGCGCTTGTCTGTAATCCCAATGACTCAGATGGCTGAAGCAGGATTGTAAGTTCAAAGACATTCTATTCTCATAAACTTAGCAAGGCTCTAAGGAACTTATTGAGACTCTGCCTCAAAAATAAAAAAAAAAATAACAAGGGCTGGAGATGTAGGTCAATGGTTATGCATCCCTGGGTTCAATTCCCAGTGACAAAATAAAAAATAATACAATTGATAATAAATATTAGTTGGGTAAAAGGAACTACATTCACACATTTTTGGTTGAATTGCAAATTAGTGAAATCACTCTAAAAAGAAGTATGGAGATTCCTTTAAAATATGAATGAATCTTCCATATGAGTCAACAATTCAACTCCTTGGGACATATACAAAAGCTGTAAAATCAAGGTCCTATGTGATATAGCCATATCAATTTTTATTCCAGCATAATTCACAGTAGCTGTGAAACCAAACTAAGTGCCCATTAACAGGTAAATGGATAAAAAAATATGGTATATATACACAATAGAGTATAACTCAGTCATAAAGAAGAATGAAATTATGAACATTGAAGGTAAACAATAGAACCAGAGAGCATTATGATCAGTGAAATAATTCAGACCCCGAAAATCAAAGTCAGATTTTTTTTCTGATACATGAATTTGATAAAAATAAGAGGAAAAAAGAAAGAAAAGGGAAAAGGAATTCCATTAAAATAGTAGAATAGTGGCACAGAGGAAGGATATTGAGGGGGAGGTAAGAGGTATGATAAAAGGGAATAGTGGTGGAATGAATCTGACCTAAGTTTCCTATGTACATGTAAGAATATATCACAGATAATGTCACTTTCATCTATATCCACAAAGCACTAATTTTATAAAAGCTATAAATAAATAAAAGAAAGATCAATGGATAGAGGAAATGAAATAAGAAGAGGGAAGAGGAGAGAGAAAGGGGAAGGACTTAGGACTGAATTAAAACAGATTATACTTCATTCTTGTATAATTATGTAAAAATGAACCTAATATTATGTATAACCAAAATGAACTAATAAAAAATGGGAAAACCCCCAGGGATTATGTCTTGGGATTATTAGTACCTTTAAATTGAAAGTGTAGAGCACTGTATGAAGAAATAAAAGATAATATTTGAGAAATATTGAAGAAATACTTCCCATATTCGTGAATAGGCATAGTTAATTTTGTTAAAATGTTTATACTACCAAAAGCAATCTACAGATCTAATGCAATTTCTGTAAAAATAGCAATGAAATTCTTTGGGGAACTAGAAAAAACAGTCCTAAAATTTATTTGGAAAAATATAAAACCTAGAGTAGCCACAGCAATTCTGAACCATAAGAAAAAAACTTGAAGCATCTCAATACCTTTCCCGAAATTATATTACAAAGTTATAGTAAAACACCTGTATGATACTGGCATAAAATCTGACAAGAACACTAATGGAATAGAATAGAAGACACAGAATTAGTCCACATAGATACAATCATCTCATACTTGACAATGTTAGCAAAAACATAAGATGGATAAAATAAAGTCTTTTTAACACATGGTTCTTGGAAAAAGTGGATACTCATTTATGGAAGAATGAAACTAGCCCCCTCTCTATCACCCTGTACTAAATTCAACTCAAAATAGATGAAAGACCAAGAATCTAACCAGAAACTGTGTAGCTGTTGTTTAATTAATGGTAGTGTGCCAATGTTCATAATTAGGATTTAATAAACTTATTATGAATATGCAATGCTATCATTGGGAAATATATGACAATTATACTATTATTTTAAAAATTTCATGTGATCCTAATATTATCTAAATATAGTTTTAACCTTTAAAAAAGGAGATACACTTACATAGGATTTTTTAAGGTCTTAAAAGCTTTAAAAGTCATAGACTATAATTGCACATTTTTATCCCATGTTCTAGATTTTGGCTATAGATATGTTTTATTTGGTCAGATAAAAATTGGAACACACAATGTTTTAAATATTTTTAAAGCCATATTTACAGAATGTAAAAAAATCAAATGTCTAGGCCATGTTTGATTCTTAATTTTTGTGGGATACACCTGTGGATATGCAGTTTTAAAAAGTTTCTTAAGAAATTCTCTTGTACATCCAAGTTTGAGAAACTCAGTTCTAATAAGCCAGAAGGAAAATTAAATTATCAGGTGTGGATAAGCACTGAGAGATTGAAATGTCTATGGTCAAAACTACAGTTTTTAGAGATTTGGATTTCTCATGAAATGTGTGTATATCTATATATACAATTATTTATATAAATATTTATATATATATAATTTTTTTTTGGTTGGAGCAATATTTTTAACTCCTCCTACTGCTCCATGTCAGGTCTCCTGGGAGAAAGAATCACATGTTCCTTCTGTTTCTCTCAGTTGTCATGGAGATAGGAATAACAAATAGCATAATCAAAGCTGGTCTCACAAGAATGACTGCTGATAAGACATCTAGATAAGACCCCAATGATCACCAAGAGTTTCCATTTATATGGGTATGTACATAAGGGGGGATCATCAAAATCCCGAGTTTTCTAGTTAAATTATTTTTTAGTCTGCTAATCTGCCTTGGCCAGGCTCACCACCTTCTATCTTATCACATATGATTCTGCACACATTTTTGTTCATGTCCACTCAAAATATGAAAGAATTTTTCTCTTAGTTTTAAATGATTGATAAAGTTTTTGACAGTTGTCTTCTTCCTTTTGTCACCAATACTAATACAATTATTAACTCTCGCCTATGTTACTAGCTAACATTCCAAGAAAACTAAACTGAACTACATTTTCTTGTCTTCATATTGATAAATTACTGAGAATTATCAATTAAAATTTCATTCTTCAGTTGATAAAACTTTAATGGTTTTTATGAGGACTCCAGCATAAATATCTAATTCTCTTCATATAATGGCTTGTGATGTTTTTCAGGCTTTTTCTTTAAAAATCATCAGTATATATAATAGACTATGCCACTTTTAAATAGAAACTTATGTAGTAAAAAATTTTTGTTTTATGGGGAATTCTCTTAAGTGGGTTTTCATAATGTTACATATTTTAAAATACAATTTGCTTTTTAATCTTACAGGAAATTGAAATAGTCTGGCCTACGTTTTCTTCCTGTTACTTCTTCAGTTTCCCTTGTAATCAAATTGCTCTGTGATTACAAGATCTGATTTTGATCAAATACATCATATCAGAAGAAAGGTGAACCGGGTACAGCAGAGTTTGGAATTTTAAGGCAAAGAAACAGACACAGTTTCCTGATTCTGACTGTGACTCTGATTTGGATTTGGATTCATAATTTCCCCATATTCCATGGATACATCACTTCCCATCCTCTGTCCCTCTTCCAGTTCTGCTATGGAAGATACAGCATCTATGCTGACAGAAGTCATATCAGAGCCCACAATTACACTGGAAAATGAAGTGAAGTGTAGCAATCTGTCCACTCCTCTACAGAAGGGAAAATCAGACAAGAGAGTGGAATGGTCAAGTGATACAATAGACAATGAGCACTTGGGCCGTCGCTCATCTAAATGCTGTTGCATTTATGAGAAGCCTCGTGCATTTGGTGAAAGTTCCTCTGAGAGTGAAAAAGAAGATGAAGAGAACTGTGATGCTATACTATGTATCTGGGGTCATCACAGGGGAAGGCGTCGTACCCTTTCCAATAGTGCTTCTAGTACTTCATCTTCAAAACCTCCAGACCCACGTCAACCCCTTCCTTCACCCATTAAGGGTTAAGCATCACCTTGCTTCTCCCATCCCTGAATCAACCTGAACTGCAATTTATCCATGTTGCTATTCAGGGATTAAAGAGTTTGACTCTTCTTTGATGTGCGTGTCATCTATCTGCCCAACTAAAATTATATCAATGAAAAAGGCAGGGAGTGAAACAAAGGACTAATGGAATATTTGGAGTCTCTTATATTGCATGGCAACTATTTAACAACTTAGGGTTCCAGGCTTCCAATGCATCTATACACTCTAGTTTTTCCTAGATACCTGAATTTTTGGCAACTATCTCTTCTCAGTCCCCTGTCATCACAACAAATGTCTATTTTTCCTACAGCTATCACTTTCACTATACTTGCCACATATAATAATCTTTATCATGTAAGTCTCATTTTAGTACTTTGTATTAATTGAAAACTTTGTCATTTATTTTTTTCTTCTTTTTTTTTAGATAATTCCCTTTTTATTTGTTCTTTTTGGATACACATGACAATAGAGTGTATTTTGACATACATTCATGAACCATAAGTTATTCTAATTACAATCTTTTTCTTGTGGTTGTACATAATGTGGAGTTTCACTGGTCATGTATTCATATATGAACAGAGGAAAGTTATATCTAATTCATTCTGTTATCTATTTTATATTAAAATATTTCAGTCTGTTCTTAATTTTTCCTGGCTAAAATATATCAATGTCCTGTCCCAATGTTTCTATAAATGAGATTTTTGTACTAAATGGATATTTCACATCTGCTATCAGAAACTCATTATTGTAGTTGCATGGATCTAGACAGCACTAGTACTACTACACAAGTACTATTACACTTTAGTTTTATGTGTAAGAATATTTTCTATTCTCAAACTCTTATTTCTTGACCTCTGCCTCATCCTCAATTCTAAAAGTATTTCCTGATAAAATTAAGACTTATAATTGTCCAAATCTGTATATTTATTCAAATCTTGGACCTCAAAATATTATGCCTATCTCACAATTTAAAATGGATTTTATCCATCTCCAAGAATACCATAATTTTAGTAGTTCAAGCATTGCCTAAAATTCAAAGTCCAGAGTGCCAACTTAGACTTGAAGCAAACTCTTGGCTTTGAGCCCCTGTAAAAATCAAAAGCAAGTAACATATCTAGTGTAAAATGGCACAGGGTAAACTTTACCATTTTGAAAGGGAGAAAGTTGGGCATACAAATAAAGAATGGTACCAAAATAAGACTGAAATGCAGCCAGGCAACCATTGCATTCTGTAGCTCAATGCCAAGCATCTAAGGCATGTGGTGGTGACAGATAACCACCAAAGGACTTGGGCAGCCCCACTCTATTGAGCTTGCTGATTGCAGTCCATGTAACCTCTCTTTTAGCCTAGTTTTCTCCAGAGTCAGAAGCTTTCCTCAACAATAATTCTACATTAATGTTATGTATTAATCTGGGGGGTCTACATTCCAACTTTGACTTCACCTTCAAAGCTTCACACTTTACCTTGGAGGCCTGCAGGATTTTAGACCCAGCTACATTTTTGCATGGACTCTCAGACCTTCCTTTGAAGTCTGTCAAAGTCTTCCATGGCATGCTCATTCAAGAATCCCAAATTCCTGCAGAGCCAGCACCATATAAATAATGATACACTCTGCTACAACTTTAGAAGAAGATGAATACCCATGGATCAAAGCTACAGCAGCTTGTGAGTTCCTGGGCAGTTAAACATGGTGAAACAACTTCCTAGGCCTTTTATCTTTCTTTCTTTTTGCAAATAGAGTCTCCCCATAGTCCATTCTCTAAGGAATTATTATTTTGACACTCTTCAATCTGGAATAAGTATTGTCTTGACAATTTCTGAATTGTCTTCAAGTTATCTTTCCTATTGTCTCAGTGCAAATTATTTAGTATATTTTTAATGATTGTAATCTATTTTCAACCATATCTTTCTTGGATACAGATTTACCTGAATGTTTATGGCCACATGTAAGTTTTAAAATTCCTTTGTCTCTGCTTTCTGCTCTTGATTATCATAATAAACTTTATTACATGCTGCCAACATTATCCATGAGAGAGCCTGTTTTCCGTACTTCCATGAAATTTTCTCTGCCATTTTGATTAGTCCATTACTTTTAAATTGGACCTCATATAATGTCTCTGGACATGAGAAAAATATAGACAAGTTCTTTGTCAGAATGTAACATGAATGGCCTCTAGTATGATTTCCAGTTCCCCTATAAAACCACATGAACAGTTTTTACTGTCTACATTCTTATTAGCATTCTGGTCTGAACTCCTGCCAGATTTGCCTATTAAACTCTGCTTACAAAATTCAAAGGTTTCTCCAGCCTAAATTTTCAAACTTTTCCAATCTTGACTTGGTTTAAGTCTTGCTATAGTTACATCCCTTCTTTGTATGCCCCTATTCGTACCCTTTTGAATGAGGACATTTACTTCACATAATTTTATATTGAATATGTGTAACTTGCTTTTGAATTTTACAGGGGCTCAAAGCCAAGAGTTTGCCTCAGTTATCAGATGAGACTTTTTACTTGGATTTTGGGGCAATGGATGGTGTAACTGTTAAGACTATGGGACTCTTAGAAATGGAAAAAATGCATTTTGAATTGTGAAGTAGACATGAGCTTTTGGGGGCCAGTTACGAAATGTTATAGTTTGGATATGAGATGTCCCCCAAGAGATACTGTGTCAACACAGTGATATTTAGAGGTGAAACTATTAGATTTGAAGAGCTATAAAATACTTAGTCTATCTATGTTCAGATGGACTAAATGAGTGATAACTTTAGGCAGGTGGGGAATAGCTTCAGTATATGAGTCACTGAGTGCATACCCTGGGAAGGTTCATCTTCCTTGGGGTCTGTCCTTCCCTGCGTTTTGGCCACCTTGAGTGTTGCAATACTTCTCAACATAACATTCCAATATGATGTTCTGCCTCACCTTGTGTCTACAACAATGGAGTCAGTCAATCATGGATTGAACTTCTGAAATCTTGACCCAAAATAAACTTTTACTCCTAGAAGTTGTTCTTATCAGATATTTTTGTCAGTGATGAAAAGCTGACTAACAAAATTGCTATCATCAAGAATACAAAAAATAATTGCTTGGGAGAATGTTAGGGAAAAAACAGCATATATAAATACTGTTGGTGGGAATGTAAGTTGGTAAAGTCCATCTGGAAATCAGTGTATAACTCTATGAAAACTAAAAGGACAATCCAGGTCTACCAGCTCTTGGTACATACCTGAAAAAATTAAAGTCATCTTACTATAGAGATATATTCAAACACAAGATTATTGTGGTGCAATTCATAATAGCCAAGAGCCAAGTTATGATTTCCCCTTAGGTGCCCATCAGTAGATCAATGGATAAAGAAAAATATGGCATATAAACACATAAAGATGTTATTAAGCCATAAAGTACAAGATCATGTTTTTTTTTCCTGGAATATGTATGGAAATGGAGATAATTATCTTAAATGAAATAAGCCAACACCAGAAAGATAATACATGTTTTCTTTCAAATCTCCAAGTTAGAAAAATAATGACATGAAAATAGAAAGAGACTGTTAGGCAAAGGAAGGATGGAGAGGAACTTAAAAAAGTTTAAAGGGAGAGTGGATATGATCAAAGAATGTTATATAAATGTACAAATGTCATTGAAATTAACTATTCTGTATAATTAATGTATAGTAATAATAAAATAAAATAATGATAAAATATTCTTAATGAGTTACATCATGTACTCCAATAACTGATGATTTAAATTACATTCCTCTACCTAGAATTACCTTTCTTCTTGAAAAGGAACATTTGTTATGAATTTTACCTTTTTAATATTCAGAAAAACTGTCTGTGACTTAATTTATTTTGTAGAAAGAATAAAATAGACATATTAGGAAAAATGTTCTCCATTTCACAAAAGAAAATCTTCTTCACCTCTTTTTACAAAGAGTATTTATTTTATCATAGGCAATTCCTTTTCTTAATATGCATATAGTAAAAGTAAGTGTTATTTCTGGAAAAAGCAGAGAATGAAAGTAGTAAACATAGTTACAGAAGTCTCCAACAAAATACTAGCAAATTGAATCTAATAGAAAACTAAAAGATCATTCCTCACAATGAAGTAGAATTTATCCAAGCAATTCAAAGATAGCTTAATACATGAAAATAATAAATGCAGTGCACCACATTAATAGAATGAATTACAAAACTTATAAGATCACAATAAATGCAGAAAAACCATTTGATTAAATACCCTTTTGTGAAAAGGTTTTTGAACAAACTAGGTATAAATGGAATTTACTTCAATATAATGAAGTCTGTATATAACAAACTCACAGCCAACTCCATATACAGTGGGTAAGGTTAAAACCTATTTTTTAAAATTATGTAACAAGTAAGCCTACTTTTACCACTCTTACTCAAATTGGCACAGAGAATCTTAGGCAGCGCATGTAGGAAACACACACACACACACACACACACACACGCACACACACGCACACACACTTAGGAAACTAGAAAGTCAATTTATTTATATTTGAAAATAAATAATATGTTTATATGCATAAGACCTAAAAAGTACAGTCATCAAAATGGCAGGCCAGAAAGAGGCAGAATCCTGTGTTGCTCCATGACTCAGGTCTCACCTAGTTGGAATACAACATCTCAGAGAGTGTGAGAGGACCCCTACATAGTGGATTTTTGCAGAAATCACTAGCATTGTGATCCCCCCAACACAGAATTCAGAGCCTCTGTGTTCTAGTAGGACTCCAGACTCTGGACCCAAAGCCCGCAGTTCTAGATCATGCACAGCTCTCAAGTGGCTTAGCAGAAGCACCTATCAGCACCTCTGCAGAACTCCAGACTGCGCACAGCTCTCATGCAGGTCACTCGGCTGCTACCTATCCACAATACAAGACCATCGCCCAGCTCCCCCCACCTCACTAGACACCCTGGTGCTGGAAGCAGACCGACTTCATCAAGGAAAACCTTTCTCACCATATTTGTTGGGCATGGCTCTCAGATGAATCTCCATCTGAACAGGTACCTGCTTTTCAACTGCCCCCCTCTCCCCAGCAGTGATGGCTCAGCACAGTGACCACCCAACACAAAAACAGCTCTCAGTTGGACAGGTGTGCAGTGCAACCAGGGCGCTGCCCACCTGGTGTGAGCCTGGGGGTGACAGGTCCCACAGCTTGGATCTCATAAGCAAGAGAGGAAATGGGACTAAAGTCTAGAGCAAAACAGAGAGACAAGGATCTGGGAAATCTTCAAGCAAGAGAGGGAGATGACACTGGGGGCTCAAGTCAGATGAGTGGTCCCAAAAAAGAACCCATGAGATGTAATTTTCTACTGGGACTAGCAGACGGCACTACCCCCTTACAGACACTCTACAACAGGTCCATTCTTCTCACTCTGGTTACCAACACCATCCTGAGGCCAGAGACATCAGCTTAAAACAGACAACCTGACCTACTGAATGAGAAGAGAAGTAGGAAAAAAATGGATCTCTAAAACTAGTAACAATTCTGGTTTCTTCTTTTGAGTATTTTTTCTTCTTTCCCTTCTATCCTCTGGCCCTCACATCCCCAACATATGTAAAACCAAGGACATTGCATGAAATAGGACTTTGAGGACCTAGTCTCCTGAATAATATAATATAGAGGAGTTGCATAAGCCCCATTTTTTCTTTTCTTCTCTCTTTTTTCTTTATTTCTTTCCCTTTTTTATTTCTTCTTCTTTCACCCTCCAAATTTTACTATTTTTACCTCCTGTATTTTTCTAAATACATATTTGTGTTTGATTTATATACTGTAGTATCTTTCCATATACTTGTCTACCCTAAATTACTTCCTGTCTATTCCCCTGCTACTAACCCTCTGCATTAGATTTCTCTTTCACATTTTCTAAGATATATTAACTCTATACACTCATATCTTTTCCCCTCAGTATATCATCCTATGCCTGGCCCCCAGTTCATTGTCCACTGTCAGAAACTGTAAACCTTTTTATGAAACTACTGATTATAATTTAAATAATAACTGAATCCAACATTTCTGGACATCAAGACTAAACTGTAAATGTCTTAATAACAACAAATAGTTCATAGGTGATGTATTGTTGATATTTGAATCTGTTAACATTGAACTTCCCCACAATGGAGGGATCTTAGAACCCTACAAGAGCACTACAAATATATAGGGTAAAAACAATAACACACCAGGCCCACAGAGCTGGAAAGGAAGACATACAGCAACATGAAAAAATAAGGGAAAAAAGTACCACAAACAAATCAAGACAACACATCATTAGAATCATTGGCAGCTAATACAGAAAAAATTACAGAGAAAGATTTCAGGATATACATGGATAAAATGTTCTGTGAACTCAAAGAAGACATAAGAGAACAAACACAAGCAGTGAAAAATGATTTCAACAATGAGCTACATAAAACAAATCCAAGAAACAAAAGATTACCTCAACAGGGAGATAGAGGTTCTAAAAAATAAACAAACAAAAATCTTTGAAATGAAACAAATAATAAACCAAATTAAAAGCTCAGATGAAAGCACCACCAACAGAGTAGACCTCTTGTGCCGAAGTCTGGCTTGGCACAAATCAGGAGCCACTTGTCAAAAAGAAACTAACTTTATTTTTAGAAGCTTGCTGGCAGCTGGAAGTTTGCTGGGGCCCCTTTGGCTGTGGCTCTCAACACTCTTGGAATATAGGACATCAGAAAATGAAGACAAAATATATTAACTTGAAAAGAACACAGGGCACACAGTGAAAATGATGAGAAACCATGAGCATAACATTCAAGAAATATGGGATAGCATAAAAAGTACAAATTTAAGAGTTATTGGAATAGAGGAAGGCCTAGAGATCCAAACCAAACAAATAAACAATCTGTTCAATAAAATAATATCAGAAAACTTTCCAAACATGAAGAATAAATTGAAAATAAAAATTCAAGAAGCCTACATGATGCCAAATGTATGAAATCACAACAGATCCACACCAAGCTACATTATAATGAAAA